GTTGTAGAGACTCACCCTTCAACTCTTATTCCAACCCTCTATAAAAGGCAGAATTAGCTCCCTCATTTTTATCCCAACCCTGAAGTTTCAGCCTCCATCTATGGCATCCTGGGAGCCCTCAAACCCTTGTGCTCTATTATTCCAATACAATCTTCAGCTAGAAAGTCTTAGCCTTGGACTGGTCCTCTTACACCACTCAACTGGTCAGTGAGGCCTGGTCTTACTCTAACCCTTTATATAGCTGGAGTTGGACAGACTCACCCTACCACTCTTATTCCAACCCAGTATATCAGGTGGAATTAGCTCCCTAATTCTAATCCAAACCCTGAAGTTTCAGCCTTCATATATGGCATCTTGGGAGCCCTCAAACCCTCATGCTCTACTATTTCAATACCATCTTCAGCTAGAAAGGCACAGCCTTGGACTGGTCCTCCTGCACCATCCAACTGGTCAGTGAGGCTTGGTCTTACTATAACCATTTATATATGCTGGAGTTGGACAGACTCGCCCTTCCACTCTCATTCCAACCCTCTATATAAGCTGGAATTAGCCCTCTCATTCTTATCCCAACCCTGAAGTTTCAGTCTTCATCTATGGCATCTTGGAAGCCCTCAACCCCTCGTGCTCTATTATTCCAATACCATCTTCAACTAGAAAGTCAGTGGCTTGGGCTCATCCTCCTGAACCACCCAACTGGTCATAGAGGCCGTCCTTCACTGTAACGCTCCAACAGTGATGCACAGGCCAAAGTGCTGTCCTCCTAGCCAAAGACAGTTTTAACATGAGAGCTTTCTCTAGATTCTGGGGCTCTGGTCAGTCTTTATATAAAGGTGTTCCTTGGATTCTAGGGCTCCTGTATCAATGTTGAAGAAATTTTAAACTAGAGGAAGGCAGGTGCCTTCTTCTGCACGCAAGCTGGAGATTGCCAACCTTAATTTCACTATAGGTCAACCTCAAAACAAAAAGCTACACTATGGAGGTATAGGTAATAATTACAGTACATTTGCAGCTCTGTTTTTTAAAGTATTCAGACCTGCACAGAAATGTATCTATGTGTTAATGGTATAAGCTTGCTGTGAGTCCTTTTGCTCTATGTTAGGCAAAAACAAGATTACAGGTTGCTATTTTGCCTCTATAGCTTTACCAGTCAGCTGTGTATTCAAAAAAATCACTCACCGCTACCCCATCTTAACTTTAAACATCGTCTTTTCTAAAAAAAATATTCTGAAATCCCAACGTATTGCCCAGAGACTATTATTAAAAAAATAAGACCAGATTACAAGGTTAATGTAATAAACAGCTCAGACCCTCAAACACCTTGCACCTTTTGTGAAGGGCTTTCCTGAATTTTATCCTTCTTATTGTATTCAACATCAATCATTTCTTGTTTTATATAGTCCACCATCTCTCATAGAGGGCCTAAAACAAAACCATCAACCTTAAACCGTTCACATCCCTTTATGTACAAAAAAAGGAACTGAATTCAGATTAGAACTAATAATATTGTATACAAAATACAGAACCAATGTAAAACCTGAGGTGCATATAGAGTCAAATGTCTCCCTACACTGCGAAAATGTTTCACACTGCCTATTAATTAGCTCTTCAGAGAACCCATTCATACCTATACTGTGCATTGGAAGGTATCAGTTATGTGTGGGTTTACTTACAACATAAACGTTTTTCTACACATTAGGTAAACTGATATAATCTTTTCTACAAATAGATCAATGGTACATTTAATTTAAAAATAATATTAATTTTGATCTTTACAATTTATTTTTTGTCCAATGCACATACATCTATATTTCTTTTCATCTATCTTTATTTTTTATTTATCAAGTAAAATAATATGGATCTCATCTCTCCTCCTCTATAACAACAAACATCATGCCAAGTAAGCAATATTTAAAATACTGATGTCTGTTTTATAAATTAAAGCCAATTTGCCTCCTCCTAAGTAACTGTTTGTTTTGATTTTTCAATATAAATGTGTATTATTTATTTTTGCTTTCCATTGCACCTTATATGCAGTTTCTTTTTTATCTTTCTTTATATCTATTTATCTATAGCTATCTATATGTACAGTATATATCCATCTGTATCTATGTATAGCTATCTATCTATCTATCTATCTATCTATCTATCTATCTATATCTCTATAGTCCCAGGGGTAGCAACTACACTCTGTGTGTAAGGTAAATACCCGAGTGCAAATCCCCAAAAATATCCATACAAATCCAAAGTAGGTATAAAGGTGCTCAAAGATTTTGCAGAGTGGAGATTTTTCCCTTACAAACACATTTGCACATAAACCATACATTTCATTGTACATACGTCGACTTTAGGTATTGCACTGTTTGAGAACTACAAAAGGACTATAAATAGAAGTCACGAAAGCCTAAAAATAAATAAATAAATAATGGAACGTAGAAAATGAACCTTGGCTCACTCGAACCTATACCTGTCAATATTTTTTGTAACAACTGTTTAGCATCAGATCAGATCAGTTGGTAGAAGAAAGCTAAACAAACCAACAAAACCCAAAAACAAAATAAAAAATGTCTGCGCTTTATTTGTTTATATTTTAAAATGTTCTGGTCTTTTTTTTTTTACCTAAAGAAAAATGGTTTTAAAATAGTGAGCGCTATGGTTCTCCTGGACCAAAGAACAATGCCTGCGAAGCGTGAGGAATGGCACAACAAAAGCCACGGAGTGATAGGCGCTCTCGAAGGCCTTTAGGAAATGCACCTTGAGAGTTTAGATCAACAACATGTGTATGTGTGTTTGGAGAAAAGGCGAAGGAGGAGTGGAAGGTTTTTTAGGTGAAATAATTCCTCAGCATGGCTGGATTGTTGAACACCTGCAGACATCAAACACAAACTGCTGTTTCTTTACAAGGCTGGAAAAAAAAGGCCTTTCATGTGAAAAATGTTCCCTGGGAATGTCAAGACTACAGCTCAAGTTACATTCCTCTCTGCAGAAGCCCCCCCCCCTTACGAAGATGGCCAGGAACGAGGTACAGAGGCCACCACCACGCTAGATGTGAGCAACTTGTGCCCTCCAGCTGTTACGGGACAACAAGCACTGAAAGGCACACTGAGAGTTGTAGTCCTGTGATGGCATGAGGGCCACCAGCATCTCAGCCTTGCAGGACCCACAAGCCAGCTAGTGTCGCATTTATTTCCTTCTCTTTCTAAACTGAACATCATTTTGGCTCCACGATAAGAGCCAAGGCCTTGTAGCGCTGGGAGTCCAAATTGGCTCCAGTTGTATAAGGGCTATAGATTGCAAGCTCTTTGAAAAGCAGGACCCAACGTGAGCAACGAGACCCAAGAGCGGCGGAATTTGTTGGCGCTATATGAATGAAGACAAATAATTGAACCGATACAGAGTTTCTATTTGAAGCAACGACCGGGCGCTGCACAATCTGTATCGGGGAGCTAGGCTGTAATATTTCTCAGGAAACAACAACAAAAAGGTACCCAACAGACAAGCGGCATGAAAGCAGTACATAAAGATGACATCTGCTCTCGCCTGATTTTCCCACACGTACAGCTGAAGAAGTGAGATCGCTCTCTGTACCGCATCCACTGCACCTGCCCCATAAGAAAGGGCTGAAGGATGGCTGCGTTCACCTATCAATTAACACGTGGGGAAATGACAGGCTCACAACGCCCAGGATCTTTTATTTTTTTTCGGCACACATTTCAATGCCTCGTTATCCTGCAGAGGTGGCCGACTTACGTGCGGTACTTTATAGGAACACATTACAGGGCTCGCTTTCACCTGCGTCGGTGAACGCCATTCAGCTTCTTCGTCCAAAAGGGGAATGTTTTACACCGGATTCACTGCGACACTCGAGATCGGAGCGTCGACCATCGCTACACGCAACCATAGACAGGGCCAGAAGCCATGAAAAGTCACCGACACCAGAAACCCCATACAGAGCAAATCAAAGAGGAAGACCAAAAAAAGGACAATAATATCCAATTACACCAGAAAACAAAATAGACAACTTTATTAGAAGTGAACACTGAGGTCACCCCATGATGACATTGCCTTTCCCAACAAATGACAAGCACAGAGCAACATACATAGAAGTCCACACAAAAAAACAAGTGTGTAGAGGTGTGAACACAAAATAAAAGTTATATGTTACCAAACCTGCATGATATTATAATATACAGAGTAATCAGTCAGTGATATTACTATACCAAATGACCATTGATAGGAGCAATGGAAACGTGTATGTGAGAGTGTGTACGTGTGTATGTATACATACTACACACACATGATATATATATATAATAGATAGATAGATAGAGAGAGAGATAGATAGATAGAGAGATAGATAGATATAAATGTGTATATAACAGACACTCTCACACTCAAATTCCTAAAAAAATATATCTGTATATCCCCCAAACGCCACACAGCGCCATATTGCTCAGATAAGATTCGGAGGTTGGACTGGGAACCATAATATATCTGTTTACGTGTATAGGGCATGTGCAGTGCCAGGCAGCCTAAAACATTGCAGCTGTTAAATTAGGGAAAGGGGAGGGGATGGAGGTGGGGATGCTTTCATGTGTTACATCCAAAATCTATCCACAAAAAATAGAAGGGGGTCAGAAGAAGTATTTTTGGAAACAAAGAAATGCTATATGTACGTAGCCCCCTTGCCATAAAAACAAAAAGTCTAGCGTGCCCTATAGATCGCATGCCAGCTATTTAGGTGTCTTTGGCACGGGAATTCTAACTGCGCGCGGCTTTGCCAAGATTCACTGACATAAGATCACTGACGTCTTCTTCTACTGACTGTCAATATCCGCCAAACAACAAAGAATCCAAGTGCACAACCTAAAATAACACAATAAAAAAAAAAGAAAATGCAACAGAACACAGTACCAACCAGCAAAAAAAATAAATAATAAAAAATGCAAAAGAACACAACATCAACCAGCA